AAAGAACCCATTTTGGGCCATTGCAACAAACTTCCCATGCTTTTTGGTTGCCAAAAGGTTTCCATTGTTTTAATTTTGTATTGGTGCAACGTCGTTGACAAAATGTTGAAATAGTTGCTACCCAATCCGATGCATATTTTTTAGATTGTCAAATACGCCGTTAAATTTGGAGCAAGCCGCTCTAAGGTCACCGCCATTTAGCATTGACCGAGTCGTATTGTCCCGCTCGTTTGCCTTCCTAATAATGCGTGGAAGTGGTTCTAAAACACGATGATTCCAAAAGCTTTTTACCCGATTGCGTGCGTCCGACATCCCCGTATTGTGATATGAAAATCCAAGTTTTAGCTAAAGTTGCCTCCTCCTCCTCGGTCCATTGGGTGTTTTACTTTTTCCTTGGATCTTTTGCTTTTTTTTTTGCCTTCTACGACTTGGTGGGTTTCTTCAACCGTTCGTCGTCGTCGTCATCGTTGAGGTTTACGGGTGAAGATTGAGATAACGGAACTTGAGATGGTTGTGAAGTTGGTGGACGTTGGAAATTTTGGGTTGAAAGGCTTGAAATTGTGGTTGAACGAATTGTGGTGGTTGTTTGTTGTTGGTAGTAGTGTGGGTGGTATGAAAGATTGGTGAATAGAGGTTGTTGTTGAACGGGGGATGAAAACAATTGCATATAGCCAATATTCGCTGACGGGTCATTTGGAGTGTTTGGGGTGGATGAGTTATTTTGGTTTGGATCCATGGAGGAAAGTATATTTTTTTTTGGTGAGTGTATATGTTTGTGTTCAAATGTGTGGTTTTTGAAATGACAAAAAAAGGTTGATATATATAGAGAAAGGATTGTAATTAATTAATTATTAATTTTTTTTTACAACGGTCAAAATCATTCAACGGTCAAAAAATCATATCACCCAATCAATTCTCTCGCGTCTTCTTCCGTCTACAAGCTCCACGCCACAACAACCCACCGGAAGGTGGGGGCGGTGTTCACGCGTGAAGGGGGCTGACACGTCAGCTCCAACGCGTCCTTTTGGCCTCCACTCCGGGCAGCCTAAGGACCATCTATATAATAAAATAAAAAATCATAACAATTATTTTTAGAGAAAAATGACAACCATAATGACATTTGTGAAATGTTGTCTACCTTTCATCTATGGGTTTATTTTCTTAATTATGAGTAAAAAAATCTAAATATGATTATAGAAATATTAACTATATGAAAAGGCCAAAAGGGAAGAAGATGCCAAGGCTTTACTGCCACTACTTCCATATCCAAAACTCAATAGATATACCAAGAGACACACCTTCCCTTTTGAAACCCCAGAAACCATGGCTGCCCATATCGCCATTTCCACTTCCTCTTCTTCTTATCTGCAACTTCACTAGCTACCAAACTTAATATCCCACCAAAACCCTCTTCATTTCGATCCCTCTGTCCTCAAGAGCAAACTCAAATCGTCGCTTCAAACTTCATGCAAAATTAGGTTTCTACCCTTTTTCATCATCAAGTTACAGTATTTTCTTCAAATTCGATCTTCTTTTGGATCTTTTTGCTGTTCTACAGATGGGTTTTTCGTAATTTTGCAGGAGGAGAAGATGCGGAAGTCAGTAAAGACGGAAAGAGAAAGTTCATTACTAAAGAACAAGAACCAGAACAGTAAGCAATTCGATTCTTGACCTTTTAGAGAGAGCAAAATTGCATTTACTTATGGTGTGTAATTTGCAATGCGCAGGTATTGGCAAACAGCAGGGAAAGGGACGGGGAGAATCCGATGATGACGCCTCTACCATACATTATCATATTCGGCATGTCGACTCCATTTGTCATCTGGCTATTGGGTTTCTTAATGGTTGGATCAAGGTGCCCATCCGATGATCAAACCAGTCTTTGTTTAAATTCTAAATGTGATTGATACCTTTCTTGAATTATAAGTTTTAATTTTGTATGAAAAAAGAGGCTCTAAATTTACACGATTAACTTGTTCAAATAGTTGAAATTTCATTGTGATAATTGATAAGTTAAAGGTCTTACATTTAAAATTAAATGAATATGTATATGTCAAATACATCATTGTAAACAACCGCGAGTGCACCGATTTATTTTTTGTCCATATGATGTCCTTCAAATATATATATATATATATATATATATATATATATTATATATATATATATTAATATATATATATATATACTATATATATATATATATATTATATATATTATATATGGTTTCGCTATGGCCTTTTTCACTAGCTATTGTTTGGGTTTCACCACCTCAAAACACTGCGAAAGGAACTATTGCACAAAATCCCATTTTAGTCGGAAATTCGTTTTGTCCATAGGAGGTCCTTAAACTTATTTTTTTGTTTCATTTTAGTCCTTTTAATGCTACTACCCATTTATTGCTCGCTTTGGCATTTTTGTCTAATGTCAAGTCCGAGATGAGCTCATTAGCTTAGTATATTAGTAAACTTGGTGTCAGACCCATGTTATTAATTAAAAAAAAATAAATATCAAAATATAAATATTAAGTATTAATTAAATTTTAAAATAAAGAAGGAAAAAACATAATTATTGCAATTTAAGATCATATTTATTACGTTTAAAACTTTACTTATATAGCTATGTGACTTTTTAATTTTAAAAATTAAAAAAAACCTAGAAATTGACATGTGAATATTATATTTCAAAATATCACAAAATGACAAATGTCAAAACTTATGAGAGATTAACATGTGACAAAATGAATTTTCATTTATTAGAGTAGATTTCAAAAATACCACAAAATGATAAGTGTCAAAACTTATGAGAGATTGGCATGTGACAAAAATGAATTTTCATTTATTAGAGTAGATATTATGTGCGAAATCTAACATATTATGTGAATTTATTTAAAAGAAAGTTTTAATACGAAATTCTAAACATTTGAGAAGTTTGAATTAATAAGAAAAGTGAGAAAAATATTTGAATTATTAAAATTAAAATGTTTTTTTCTTTTTTAAATTTAAACAAATAATTTAGATAAATAAACAAAGAAAACTAATGAGGCTTTAATTTAGGAATTTTAAGATTAGAAGGAAAGTTTATTAAGGAAATTGATATGCATTTATTATTATATTTAAATACTATATTAATTTATAAAATGGGAAAAAACCATAAAATAACATGTGGAATAAAAATTAATTTAAAATAACCACAAAATGACATGTGGCAAATTGAATGAGAATGTAACATGTGACAAAAATGATTTTTATTTATTATAGTAGATAGTCTAGATTGTGACCACCAGAGTGAGATCTTTGAGCATAATTCTAAAGTTATTATAAGATTTGGGAAGCTTATTTGTCCTCACAAAGAAGAAACCATAGCCCACCAGCATAAGGATTACCATACAAAGTGGTGAATCCTTGAAAGGATTGCACAGGTCTATCGAGGATATGGTGGTATGTGGAGGTCTCTTCTTTGGAGACATTTAGTGGGGCCTGACTTCCTTACCTATTCGTTTCGGTGGTTTGGGTGTGTACTCGGTATACGAGGTTTCCTCCTACGCATTTGTAGCCTCGAGGGCCATCTTGGGCATTACAGACCACATCTACGTGACATTGGTGTATTTGGTAATGGACTTCATTACCTATGTGCTATGATTCGTCTTCGCGATACTATTCTGGGATTTGACTGTAGCGGTTTCACTAATAAGGACACCGCCCCCCCTAAATCCCAAAAAGCTTGGTGTGTGCCCTTTTTTAGCAAAATCGTCCAAGATATGGAAGTCGACTTCGACATGACTGTCGACAGAAAGCAGTCTTTGAGTGTCTGCGGACACCTCATGCTCAGGATTTTCTGCTAACTATCCCTATTGATGGTTTGGGCCAGCATAATGTCTCCTGTGGCGTACCGAACTATCCTTCGTTACCACGCCTCATGATTCCCTATTCCCAATTAACGAGATATGCCCAGTTTTGCCGCAAGGCATGTTGGATACCTTTGGAGAACACGCAGTTCATTGTAGAGAGAATCCCTGGTTTCAAGTACAGACATAATGTGGTTCGGATGTTCTCTTTGATGCTTGTCGGCGTGCTGGTATTTCTGTGAAGAAAGAAGGTCAGTGAACTTTTGACGGACCCGCAAGATGGAAGATCCACACTTAGATCGGTTGACATTTTGGTAAGCATGCGTGCGTGGATCTTACTGGGGTCTCTCCTCTCGTTGGTTTGGGGAGTGGGGGTTTCACAGCAGGTCATGCCGCTTTGAAAGTCGCTGCGTGCAAAGTGGTAAAGCACGAGAATGCATGATAGAAAATCAACATGTGTTTTGTAACCTTTGCATTCGATAACATTTGGTTTTTCCCTCGCACCAGAGAGAAGTCTGTGAAGCCATCAATAGAGTCCAACGGGTCATGCATTCTAATGTCATATCTCCTAGATTATGACATCCCCATTTTCAGGGCCAGAAAAGATCGGTTTTGTTTATGCTTTATAAAAATCAAAGTACTTCTTTTAATAAAAATGTTGCGAAATTTGTTCCCAGTAAAACATGATAAATACGTTATCAAAGCATTTCCGAAGAAATGTATTTTTTATTCATTTTAAAACATTTGGGATGACATTGTCAATACAGAAACATAAGCATAAACAGAACTTACATTCATTTACACTAGTGATCTAGACCTCTTTAATCTCTCAGTGTAATGTAACTTCATATCAACACCTGTGATACAAATAAGCTTGAGTGGGTCAGGTTGGGAAACCTGGTGAGTACATAGGGTTTTCAACCAACAATAATATAATTATTATGTTTAAACATCAAAAATCAACCCAATTACTCCATCCCCATTATCTTCTTTACTCTTAAGGATCTACCCTAAGAATCAACTATTCCCTCGTCTTCATTCCTAAGGATCATCCTAAGGAATCGGCACGAAGTCCATCATCACCGGGGTTTAGGCACTAAGTCTGCATAGTCGCCAGGATTTATACAACAGACACTAAATCCGCATAGTCGCCAGGGTTTAGGCACTAAGTCTGCATAGTCGCCAGGGTTTATACAACAGGCACTAAGTCCGCATAGTCGCCATGGTTTTGGCACCAAGTCGGCATGATCGTCAAGGTTAGGCACCAAGTCTGCATGGTCGTCAGGGTTTAGAGTACACCGGGTGAACACATCGTTCACAACACCTACAGGTTGCGAGCCTGCTAGTGTTCCGCTGGACTGTCTAGAATAGTCCGTGGTTGTCATTCATACTCTGCTAGATGACAGGGCCAACATTTGGGAACAAGGCTTCTCACATCGTCCACCTCTCACCCTTAACTCATGGTCTATATCACCTCTCAACTCATCATCCAACTCATATTTCAACTACCTATGTTTTACCCAGCATATTATGTAGATATAAATACATATACAGTTTAAATCATATAAAACTTGTATAAAATCGTTCATCCAGCATAGATAGCAAGTATACATATATATGCACACATAGCACGTAGTTTATATAAAATACTTCATATCTATGTGTAAGATGAAAGTAACTATGCACTCACTTGATAAGGTGGTGACTCGGTACTCGGACATCGCTTCGTTTACTTTAAAATAATTTCCTTCGACGAAACCTAGTATTATTACCACTAGATTTTAGTCTAATATTTATCGTGACTAATTATTAGTCTTTATTATTATTATTATTATATAAACGTTTAATTAAACAATACTTTCCAAACACTATGTACAGACAGGGGCCAGACATAAAACACCGGAGGGCATGACCATTTTGGCATATAGCACTTCTGAAATCCAACAACCCTATGCGGCCCTTTAAACCAGATTCCCCGTACCGCGAGTAGTTAAAAAGATATTATAACGACACTTATATAAGTCATAATAATAGCTCAATATTATTATAAGTTCATAATAACAATACTAATTTTAAATATAAGTTATATTAAAATAGGGTAAGCATAACTTACTTACAATGGGGTTTTAGCTAGGAGTCGGGTTCTGCAGGGGCAGAACTTCGTCGCTGAATCTTTCTAAGAAAGATTCGTGCAGCGCTTCAGCGCTCACCTTACTATACTAAACTAAAAAAAAAAGAGAAGTCGAATCACGAGGGACCGAAATGCTCGGGGGATAAGAAGAGAAAGACTCTTGAATCAAGAGAATGGTGCAAGAAATATGAGAGCCCAAGCCTCTTATTTATAGTAATTGAATTTACAAAAACTACCCTCCATAATTACTTTATGACCTTATAGTTATATAAACGACTAAACACCCTTCATAATATATTTTAAATAGATTTAGGATATGTGTACTAAACTAATGTCGAAAGTACTCAACACTAGTCTTATAATAACAGCATCGTCGATACCTTTCTAATGATATATACATTTGTATATATATATGTGTACGTATATATGATTTATACTTTATTTTAATACGTAAATATGCTATTATAATTTGTAACCCGTTCATACGAACTCTACTTTTGACGTTCTTTATATCCACGCGTTGGTATTTACGAGTGCTACAACTTTCATTTAGACGCCGTCAGCTAATTCTCATTCTATCTCAGATTTACAAAACTGTATCGAATTTATCGCGCTCGAAGAGTAGAGGCTAAGCTTCATCCATAACTTTCGCATACGAGCTCCGTATTTGACGTTATTAATATCCACGCGTAGGTAAAAATAAAATCTACAACTTTCCTTTTTACTCCGTCGGCTAGTTTTCGACCGATCTTAAATTTAACAGTAGGAGGTGATTACACTGTTAAATGTCCGCGTAAAATTCAAAAATTTTACATACGGACTCCGTTTTCGTCTGTCTTTTTGTCGTTGAGTTCCTATTAATGAGATCTTCAATTCTCATTTAGGTCGCGTT